GCTTAGACTGTGACCGTTCGTTGACCGCAAACAAAGCATTGTTATTGAATGGCAATGCGCCGTCCATTTGTTTTGCTGGTCTGTGGTTATAGTATAAGTTATACTATAACCGTTATACTAGACTCTCGTAAAGCAACCAGTCCTTACCACTCGGTGCATGAAAGAAGGTGGGATTTAATCTCACTGTATTTATTCCGTTTAATACACATTGTATATACATGTATATTACATCCGTTTAAAAATTTTCTCTTCACATTTTAAGTAATTTTTAAATTGTGGGATACAGTTTTCGATAAAATGTTGTTTAATACTCGAGCTTTCGCTCACAAAAAAACTTTTATCTTGAATTTAAAAGTAGAATTTCGCAATCTAGCATAAAAATAACTAGAGACCAATTGAGTAAGGTTTTTTTACCTCCTAGTCTGTAAAAACCCGTTTGGACCATTCGACTGTTGCCAGATCTATTTAACTTCACTTTATACTTTTAATATTTATTTCATTTTTTTAACAATTATAATTATTATTATTAAAGTATTTATTGAACGTTTATGTATTGTTTAAAAAAAAAACATTTTACCTTAAAGATAAAATGTTTTATGTCATGCGGCTGAGAAGTGCGTGTTTGTGCTTTGCTCAATTGTAGTCGTTGAGTTGATTAGGTTGTTGCGCGATTAAAACATAGTTTAACAAAAACAAAACAAAAATGGTTGTGTATATGCTTATAAGCTTAAATTCTTAATCTTAAAAAATAATAAAATCTAGGTAGAAAATACACCAGAAAAGGAAGGAAGGGCAGCTACTTGATGGTTGATATCTTCCAGATGCCATAAACATTTATGATTCTGCATTTTTTGTACATTTGCTTTAACTTTTAATATTATGCACTTGTTAACAGACAATTTAAAATATATGGGTCAAGCGTAAACAGCCCTTGCTACCCGTCGGCTTTTAAACTTTGAGCTCAGCAACTAAACAAAGGTTAGGCAAGGGTGTACGACCAAACAAAATACACTAGCGCGAGTAGTAATTAATAACTAATTATTAAGCTTAATTAATATAAACCCCAGGGTTAATACAATATATGTAGCTACACTATTGACCCAATAAAATGATTAATTTTATGTATACAGTTTAAATAATTATTTTGTATTAAGAATTAAAAAGTTTACTGCGAAAGTAACCATGGCACACCGTGACACACATTTGGGGTACCGCAGAGAAATTTAGTTTAGGTACCTACAGTAGTGTACAACTACAAATCTTACAACCAATTACAACTTTAGCACTTTAAATTTTATATATTTTATTTCGGAAAATTAAAATTTTTGTTTTTTTATAATTGAAAAAAATTAGTAGATTATTATACGAGAGATACTGCAGGCTTTTATTTACGAGAACGAGGTTTGCGTCTCGAGCCGTCAGACTAGAGACGTATATCATTCAAGTAAATAATGCGCCTTATCTTAAATGTAATACTAGGTATACTTTTTCTACTCCAATTAATTAGTTTTTATTAAAAACAAAATTTATTATAACCTCACTTTCTCCCGATTCTCACTTGTATACATATATAAAAATCTTACATCTGTTAGAAAGTTGAAATCAACCAATCACTGATGCCTAACAACAGAACATTATTCCCGTTGGTAGGCGGGGCGGTTATAATGGTTACTATTATGTCGGGAAAACCCCAAATTTTTCTAATAATGTGCTATAGAAGTAGAAAAAATAATATAAATTTATAGGATATTATAGAACGCAGTTTTACTATTTAAAAGATTTAAAAGCAGTCATAGACATTTTAAAATTTATTGTTCAATAAACAAATAATTGTCATTATCTATAGTGCCCGTAACAATATACTATACCTACATTAATATTTTTATCAATAATTATTATAATCAAACGTAAATAACTTTTTAGTAATTTTTTGTTTGCAGAATTACTGCATCGATAGGGTATTGGAAAAATACCTGCTTTCAATGGAAGTCTATTGTTATTTAAAAGAATATATAAGTCAAAACACTTTTTGCAATTTTCATAGATTGCAAAAGATAACTTTGTAATTGTTTAAGTTAAACTGTGCTATATGGAAAAAAAGTATAGCTTTTATAGAGTAAATAGCTACAACTCTTTTTACAATACACGACAATTACCAAAACTATATACATATATAAAATTATATATTATTTATCTTTTCTTTATAAAAGCTTTACTTTTTTTATATAGCAGAATTGCATAAACCTTAGCAATAACAAAGTGATCTTAAGCAATCTATGACAATTGCAAAAAGCATTTTGACTTTTAAATTATTTTAAATAACAATAGACTGCTATTAAAAGCAGATATTAAACGCAAAAATGTTTCTTATAATCTATGACAATAGATAAAAAGTATTCTTACTATCTAAAAATGTAAAATGAAAAATCGTCAAAAGTTAGAAAAGTAGAACAGTTTTTGAGATATAGTCAATTTTCCATATAATATGGAATTGACTAAATCTCAAAAACTGCTTTACTTTTATAATTTTTGACGGTATTTTCGGATTCAGGAGACCATTTTACATGAGAATTGACTGTTAAATGTTGGGATATCATGGTATCCCATGTGGTGTATCAATGCACCACAGGTTAATAAAAGAAGAGATTGTACTTACAGTTATATTCCTTTATTTTGTTATCTATATATGTATAATTATTTATGTATAAATTTAATTTAAATATTTATCTAAATAAGTGTTTTTAATTTTAATTTCTTATTCCACCAAAATCCATGAATGAGTGATTTTTCAAAAGGTCGTATTTCCATTTGCAACAATTTTTCAAAAAATGACTATAACCTGTATAAGTTAGGGCAATATAAATTATTATAAAAAAAATTCTGATGAATATTTAATAATACTTCAGACCTGCTGTCATATTTCGCCGTTAATATATGCCTTTTAACCATACCTTTGGGATTTTGTCAAAAAATTACATTCAAGTAAAAATGAAAATAAGGCCTTTTGAAAAATCACTCCTCGAATATCTTTCTTCTTATAATTTCTTATTTTATTATCTTTCTTCTTATATCATTCTTTTTTGTATTTCTTGTACCTATAATTTCCTTTTATATTATCTGTATGTTATTTCTGTATGTTTTATATTGGTTATTTTATTTATTATTTTATGATGTATACTAAAATATATAAATTTTATGATTATGATTCCTTTTAATTTTTATATTTTTTATTATTATGTTATGTTATTTTTGTTACAGTTTTCATGGATAACTATTTTTTAATATATAAGTATCAAAGATATTATCGATAGTCTTAAGTTGAGACTGTGTGTTCTGTGTTCAGAGGAATGACAAGTTGAGACTCTCAACTAACTATGACACAAAATAAAGGTTATGTAACCAAAGTCATATCCACAACTTAAACCAACCCATGGTGCACTTGGCGCCAACACCATGGTTAACCATGGTATAAGTGAAAAAGCAGCCACTCATAACTGTAGTAATTAGTCATTTTTGACTTATTTATTTTTAGGGAGTACATTAAGGTGTAGCAGAATGTAGTTTCATCAACATAATAGCATGCATTGCATTTTTTATACATAAAAAATGCAATGCCAGTATGTTGGTGTACCTTAGAATTTATTTTACATAAACATAGAATAATTTGAATGTTTCTTTAATAATTTTTATTAAAGAGATTTGCCATTAATGGAAAACAATATCAGCCAGATGGCCTTCGCGACCTCTTCTGTACACCCAGACTCTTGATCAAATTTTCTATCACATTCCTAAGAATCAATATTGGGTTTTCTGAGCCCTAAATGGGACAATTTTGCTTATTAAGGGTGAAATTCGGGATTATTTTCATGAATTGGCAACACCCAATTGCATAGATACGACGCTGCTGATGGGCGCGTATCTTTTCTTTTTTATGAATGGCTTAGTTTTTACCTAACATTTATCAAACATTCACATGACAGCGGTCTATTCGAAATTAAATTGAAAAACCCTATATACTTGTGAACTTTTTTGTTTTGCATTTTTTATAAAAAGTTTTGGTTTATTCTGTAAATTTTATAGCCATCTTCAAATGTCTAAATAACATACAGGGTGGATAAAAAACAACAAAATGTTAAATACGTTAAGTTAAGAATACCTACTGCTAAACAATGCTAAAATGCACTATATCCAATTTAGGTAATAAAAGGACAAAATGTAATTTTTATAGTTTATAACTGTGGGTGCGCCATTTTCTAGATACCCTCTACAAAGCTTATTCGGTTTTTAAAAATAAAAATATACTTTTAAAAATTTAGACAACTGTGCAAAATAATGTAATAGCTGTTGCTTCAATGGTATGCAGGTACCATTTATGACCCAAGCGAAAGAAAAGGAAGGAAATAATGTTTACAGGTAAGTACCTAAGTGGTGGTATAGTGGGAGACAATATAGGGAATTTATTATAGCAGGTACCATTGAAACATACATTTTAAGAGTAAGTTAAATAGTACCTACCTTCATTGTACCCATGACTATAGTTCAGTCAATTAAGTAACTTAGTGAATTTTATCATTTAGTGCAACTGTTGTCGGTGTTTAGCTGTCAGTAGCGAAACTTTAGGTACGGATGTTTAATATTTTGTTATTTAAGAATATTGTTATATTTATAACATTTAATACTTTATGCGCCAATAAACATTTTGTACACCAACTATTAATTAAATAAATCCAGAACTATAGTTTTTTAGTCGTAATTTTTAATCGTAATATCATAATTATCTAAAAAATAATAAATCAATTAAATTTAATTTAATTTTTTTAAATGTTCTAGGAAGTCACTTATAAAAACATTTACTTCAAAAATAAAAATTAATTTATAATAGATTTTTCCTATTGTTTTTTTATCAATTTTACATTGATTAAATTATATTTTTATAAATTTATCAAAAAAAGAAAATTACTTTTTTATGATAATAAATCCACTTTATTTTTATAATGATATAGCAACATAAAACGGTTTCACTTGTCATTAAAGGGTTTTGTTAACGTGTTAATGTAGTGTAAGAATAATGGAAATTATAGGTATAGTACGTACTAAATAAAATAAATAGGTATTTATTACAAATGCAAAGGCCCAAATTATTTTTTTGTATAAAACTATGTTAATATATATGTTTAAAACTTTTTTCTTTACTTTAATTTTTTATTTAATTTAATAAAAATAGGTATTTAAAATATATGTTGCGCTCTCTTTTTCTTTCTTAACACTGTATTATTAAAACGTTTATTATTTATATATTTAAGTTGAAAAATTAATAAAATTAAAGAATATTAGTATAGGTACACTTAAGGTCATTTTGGAAATATGATATCATATGCCATTAATGGAATTATTTTTGCTAATGAGCGCATTAGTTATAAACCATAGATAGTAAAAAAAAGTAAATAAATATTAGATAAATTATTTAAGTGCCATAGTGCCTTAATTAACAAAAAATATAATTTTGGAATATATTTTAATTATAAACAAAAATAGATATTTTCTTTATGAATAACATTAAAACAATAAAAATGGGTTAATAATATGTTTAATTTTTTATATTTTATTAATTTTAATAATAAATATAGTTTTATTACAAAAGTAACAACTTATTACTACAATAGAATCCTATTAGTTGTAAAATAGATAAAATTAAATAATATACAAATAAGTTCTATTTTAGTAATAAGTAGTTACCTTTGTAATAAAACTATATTTAGATAGAGTAAGATATATTACATTACCAGTGCGAACTCGTAGAGGTGTAACAATGTACTATAACTTAAAAAGTATTTACTTATAAATGTTATAGGTTGGAAAATTATCAGAATTTTTCATTGTAGGCTACATTATAGACCAGGCGGATAAAGCACATATTATATGTGCTTTCTCCGCCGAGCCAAGGAAATTAATAAAATTTCGGCGCCGGGTTTTATATACAATATGTTTTTAAGCAAGATTCTATCACATGATGACATTTTATCTTTATTTTTGTACGAGGTTTTTTTATGGTAATTTAACTTTTATATAGACTTACACTGTTCAAAATTTCATGACCAATTTAACACCAAATTAACACCATACGTGGTCTATATCGATACAAACCAAAATGGTGTTAAATAAGGTTCGTTGGTCCGGTGTCAATTCAAATACTAAAATGGTGTTAAATAAGGTTCGTTGGCGGTGTAAATTCAAATACTAAAATGGTGTTAATTTAACTTTCACACAGTATTAAAATAAATTTTATCTGGTGTAAATTGAACTCCTTTTCAGTGTTAAATATTATGTGTTTGTGGTCAAATTATCATACTACACAGAAGAAAGGAAAAAAAAAGGAAACAGGAAGTTCCTTGACGCATTACTAGTATATTACCAGTGGTATTATTCCAGAAAATGAAACCTTCAACTCGCTTGAGATAATGTTTTTAGTGCGTTCCACTAACTTAAAATACTTCAAGTATTGACAGCTGTTTCCACCTATTTAAGGTCTCTTTAGTATCGAACAACTTGTAGTGTCACACCAAAGCAAAGGATTACCTAAGTTTATATATTCTTCATGTAAGTCAACAGAGGCGAGATTTAAGAACATCACGTGATCCACAAAAATATAACTACTTATGGGTCAACTGGGTTAAATGAACTATTCCTTTTTTTCTGGGTAGGTGCACTTCTCAAATATTTTTAGATAAACACCGTTTTGGTGTTCATTTTCAACCCTAATTCATGGTGTTATATTAACACCATTTGGTGTTGGATTTTGACACCATTTTAGGGTTACTTTTTACACCGCAGATATTTTAAACAGTGTATGAGTGTTATAATATATTATATAGAATATTCTGTAACAAGTTAGGAATACGGCATATTCCGCTTGTGTGAAAATTTTGTCACAAGAGCCGAAGGCAAGTTTGACGGTTTTACGAGAGCGTAATATGCAATTCCAAATGTGTTTCAGACTACTATATTTTTTCTACGTTTTCAAAAAATACCGTAGAAAATTAATTTAATTGGGATAAACTGAGGTTGTATCGATCTAAAAAGTTGTTAGATAATAAACATAGAGATGTCGCCACCAGTGTTTATTTCGTCATCCGGTGATAAAATAAATGCATTCTGTAACACTTTATGGAATTGGGATATGTAATTCCATATTAAAAAAAGATACTACAACGGTTCCGTAATAGAAGTACCTATAAAAAAAATTATTATAAAAAAATATATCACGTGGCAACTTATAAAATAGTTTTTTAATTCTACCCAACATAAGGGACACATGAACACGGCCAAACATTTTTTATAAACAAAATAGAAAAAAATAACATTCAAGAGTGAAAATGCATTCATATAAGTAATGCACAAAAATTTAGTTGGGAGTTAGGGATTAGGTATTGTTTGGGTATTTATAAAAAGCATTGTATTAATGGAAAATAAGCAGTTTATTATTTAAAAAAATGATTAACCATGTTTTTCATTCTATATATACCGCCGACGATGGTCTACAAGCCGAGACGTCGCGGGTGGATTCGAATCACACCAGGTGTATGGCTGTTTATTTGTGTTTGTCCTATTGTGTACTAGTCCTTCGGAGGGGACTTTAAGCCCGCGGTCTGTTCCTACCACTCCCGCTCAAGCCATTCAGTTGTATATATATACACACATACATATATATATATATTATTTATATTTATACTTATATACCCAATTTAAAACTTTATTAACAATTATAATTTAACAATAACATTTATGCCAAACAAATAGGTACATAATTAGAGTATCATACATTTTCACATATTTTTTAATCTATTGTTGTTAATTTTACAATAATTGTACACTAATTATTAGTTTCTCTTTTATGTGTTTATAAGAAGGTTATTTATAATTTATCCTTTGTTCAAGCATGACTTTCTTTTAGATGACATCCATTTAAAACTGATGTGGTACCCACCGTTTTTATTTAAGGTGGCAAAATATTTGACATACTTTTAAACGTTATTCAAATGCTTGAAGCAAGTTTGTGGGCCTACAATGTAGGTTCTACACATAAGTTTTTAACTGTTAATTAAATTTGACATATGCATAAACAAGGGATAGGTTGCGGGGGTGGGGGTTTAGATACTTAGATACGTTTTCAATTCTGTTATATTTTATTACAAAAAGTATATTTCATATATTTGGTGTGATTTGGGGTTCCCTGGTTTTCCATTAATAAGGCCGGGTGCCGGTCAGTAACCAAAAAAGGTCAGTTTTCTAAGAAAAATGAGATTGATTTTAAAAAAGCTGCTCGAAACAATAGCAAATTGGACCAAGACACACTAGAGTCCTTCCAAAAAGTGCCTGGCCACAAAATATAAATCTGATCCTAAATTCACACTAAGATAATATTAAACAGCGCCAATTTTTTAAAACCAAGAGTAGTTATTTATGGCATAGACAGAAAATATACCTTTTAAACAATATGGGGTACTTTTGGGGTACTGTTTAGACAAAAAGTTTTTTATTGAAAGGATTATATCGGTTTCTAAACTTATGGCCACGAAAATCAAAATAAATCCTTTTATCTTATAAAAGCCCACAGCAAATGATTATAAATAAAAAATAGTTATAGTAAAAATTGCTTTACCACTCGAGGAATACCTCCTTTATCTACAACACAACATTTTGAACCTTTTAGATTTTTTTAAAATTTGACATAGGTACTCGTAGACAGTTCTAACAAATATTTACTTAATTTCTTCACCATAATGTTAGTAATAAACCAAACAAGCAAAAGTTCCCTAGCACAACTGTGTAACTATAGCAACTACAACTTTTCCCATGAAATCTTTAATTGTGCGATTTTTCAATATTACACAACACTATGCGTAAAGTGACGGCTACTTAGGTTGTCAGTACACAATTTGGCGTTTTACAGTGTTCGTAGATAAACATGTTTAGGCGGTTTATTTTGACGCACTACTTCGCGCCGCGAAGTTCGCGGAACCCTACTGACTTTTCCACGAGACCTTTATGTTCCGGGAAACAGAATTTTCGTGATCCCTGAACAAATTGACTATAGATAATAACACAAAAAGGCAGATTTAATGTTTCCTCTGATAAATAACTGAAACAATAAATATCTGAAACGATAAACCCCCCTTTTCCTTAACGCGTGCACAGAAAAAATATATTTGTTAATTTTAACCAAATAATAACCAGATTTTATGTTAATCCAGGTCCACATAACTTTTTGTTAAGTTTCCAACAAACTGTAATCTGCAGATCTACAATCTACAAGATATTTTGTAGATTTAATAACAAAATTCCATGTCAATTTAACCATAATTCTTTTTTACAAACTTTTATGATAAGACCCAGTATCAAAAGTATTTTTTGTAAATTGGGAACTTTAAAAAAGACAATTTGTTATAAGAAATGTTGCTTTATTAAACAATTTTCTAAATAAAACATATGGGGCATTCCACGCAAAATCGGATGGTTTAAAATTTTTTTTATTTCTCCAATTTTTTTATATTTTTTAGTACTCCTTAAAAGAGCTTTCTCAGTAAATTTTGGGATTTTTTTGATCACGGGTTCAAAAGATATACAATTTTCAAAAAAACTCGATTTTTCAAAATTAAAAAAAAATTCTCTAAAAATTATTATAGGTAGGTATCGAAAAAAAATAGCAATTATGGAAGGCCCACTACCGGACCAGGCTGAATAGTTGTTATAAATATAAATAAAAAAATTTCGCGAAAATCGAAGAAGACACACATTTTTAAACTTTAAAACTCAAAAATCTTTACTTAAAACGCTTTAAATATTTTTCTCTCAACGTACGAATGTGGCGCAAAAATAAATATTCAAACACCGATGGCATAAAAAATCACGACATGATTTTTTATGCCATCGGTGTTTGGATATTCATATTTGCAAAACATTCGTACATTGAAAGAAAAAGTATGTTAACAATTGAATCAACAGTTTAACATTCAATATTTTCTTGGATTTAAATTAACTATATATAGTCAATTTAAATCCAAGAAAATATTGAATGTATTTA